CAGAGCACAATGAGGGCCACCTGGGTGGCTCAGTCATCAAGCATCTGCCTTTGGCTCAGGTCATGGTCCCAGGGTCCTGGCATTGCACCCCACATCTGGCTCCCTGTTCAGCGGAAAGCCTACTTCTCCCTCTCCCACTCCCCCTGCTTGTGTTCCCTCTCTTGCTGTGTCTCTCTCTGTCCAATAAATAAATAAAATCTTAAAAAAAAAAGCTTTAAAAAAAATTGCTCCCAATCTTCACAATTGTTCCTTATACTTTTGTTACTGCACTTAGCATATTGAGAGGTAATTATTCATACATGACTAATTCCCTCACTACCATGAGCTGCTTGTGGGCAAAAAACATTTTAATTTTCTCCGTATTTCCAATACCTAGCACCTAGCATTTAGTCTGGCACATAGAAGCCAATGAATGCATATTTGTGGACCAAATGAATACATTTTCTATCATAATGATTTTCATATAATATTACTAAGTAAACATTTTTTGGATTTAATTTAGTAAACACAGTCAAAATAATGTAACCCACAGGAACAAAAGAGTTAAAAAAAATACAGAGCAAAGGTGAGATTAGAGTGGGATAGGATAAATGGGCAAATTTCACAGAGTGCCTTTCTTGCCTTTCCCCTAGAGTCCTGTCCTCATCTCTATCCAAGGTCTTGGGTTTTATAAAATATCTAGGATAGGTTGCTTGTCTTTCTTCCTTCCTTTTCTAAATTTTAGGCAGACTTTAAGGCTCTAGTTATCTATATCTTCGATTTGGGATCTTCTCAGTTTTTGCATTTCCTTTCTTTCTTTCTTTTTTTTTTTGTTTAAGAATTTATTTATTTGAGAAAGAGCGTGAGTGAGCACAAGCTGGGGGAGTGGCAGAGGCAGAGGGAGAAGCAGACTCCCTGATGAGCAGGTAGCCCAATGTGGGGACTGGATCCCAGGACTCTGGGATCATGACCTGAGCTGAAGGCAGACGCTGAACAGACTGAGCCACCCAGGTGCCCCTGCATTTCCTTTCAATTCATAGGAATCACAAACTCATCTGCAAAGCTGCTGAGCGCATTTGCTTCACAGGTTGCCAGTGGAACTCTGACATGAGCAAGGAACCTCAGCCAATATTCTTCCCAAGCTGTCACAGTATTTCAGAGCCAAAGTACTAAAGCCCTCTTCTGACTGCTGACACATCTGTCATCAGCTGTCCTCTGCAGCAAAGGGAACTGCAATACAAAGGTATGGAGGAGAGACAGTAGGGTGAGTTCAGGAAACTGAAATTAATTCAGTGTGGTCAGCATAGAGGAATTGAGTTTAGTTGCAGCAGGAACCTGGAGAGGTGGACAGGGGCTACATCATGAAAACCATTGTGTCATACTCAGGAAGGTGGACTGTTATCCTGAATGCTTTTATAAGAAAATCTTTAAAATTATACATATCTTTTAAAAATTAATGTTTTATTCAAAAACAATACATATTCAATGTTGAATTTTTACAAAGTACAGAAATGTGGAACAAAAATCATTCTTGGGGCACCTGGGTGGCTCAGTCGGTTAAGGATCTGACTCTTGATCTCAGCTCAGGTCTTGATCTCAGGGTCATGAGTTCAAGCTCCCCATTGAAATTAATTATTAAAAATTTTAAAAATTAAAAAATAATCATTGTTAATCCAATCACCCAGAGATAACTATTTTAAACATATTGATATTTTTTCAACTTCTCTATGTGTATAAACATGAATAAAATGACAAGATAAAGCTCATACTACATATATATTTGCTTTGTAACTTGCCTTTTTATAAACACTTCACAATCAGTTGCTTTCTAAAACATGATTTTTGAAGTGCTACACAGTATTCTATTATATAGATGCATCACGGGTTATTTAATCAATTCCTTATTGTTGGGCATTTAGATTGCGTTTTGTTGCTCTAACACCTTGATGAAGGGGTACCTGTGTGGCTCAGTCAGTTAAGTGTCCTACTCTTGATTTTGGCTCAGGTCGTGATCTCAGGATTGTGGAATCAGGCCCCACGGGGGTGCTCTGTGCTCAGTGTGGAGTCTGTCCCTTTCCCTTTGCTCCTCACACCACTTGTGCTCTCTCCGTCAAATAAATAATAAATAAATAAAATCTTTAATACCTTGATAGTTTTTGCACTAATTTTATACAGATATCTAATGCTTGTACATATATACATTCTTAAATCTCAAAGTGGAATTATCATACCAAAGGTATGAATATTTTTAAGATTTTTGATGCAGATTATGCTATAAAAAGTTGTGTCAACTTCACTCCCACTGGTCCTATCTTAGAATGTCTACTTCTCAGCTCTTGTACCCACACTGGATATTCTTCTAAAATATTTATGTCTGAGGTCTTTTTTTATTTAAAGATTTTTGTTTTTGGGGTGCCTGGGTGGCTCAGTCGGTTAAGCGTCTGCCTTCAGCTCAGGTCATGATCCTGGGGTCCTGGGATGAAGCCTGTGTTGGGCTCTCTGCTCAGCGGGGAGCCTGCTTCTCCCTCTCCCTCTGCCTGCCGCTCCCCCTGCTTGTGCTCTCGCTCTCACTCTCTGTCAAATAAATAAATAAAATCTTAAAAAATTTTTTTTTGTTTTAAATTTCTTTATTTTGAGAGAGAGGGTGCACATGCACAAGTCGGGGGAGGGGCAGAGGCAGAGGGAGAGAGAATCTCAAGCAGTACCTAAGTACCGAACCTGAGGCAGGGCTTGATCTCACGACCCCAATATCATGACCTGAGCAGAAATCAAAAGCCGGAAGCTTGACCGACTGAGTCACCCAGGCACCTCCTCAGTGTCTTAATTTGATTTTTGTTGTTTTTGTTACTAGTGAGTTTGAATGTTTTTCATTTATTGGCCATTGTATTTCTTTTTTTTGGTCATTAACTTGGCTTTTATTTTTTAAAGATTTATTTATGTATTTTAGAGAGAAAGAGCATGAGCAGGAGGGGCAGAGGGAGAGGGAGAGAGAATCTTAAGCAGACTCTGCACTGAGTGCCGAGCCCTCGGCAGGGTGGATCTCACCACCCTGAGATCACGACTGGAGCTGAAACCAATAGTCATTCACTTATGGGACTGGGCCACCCAGGTGCCCCTCGACTTTTCATATTGCTGTTGGTGTTTTTTGACTTTCATACAATTTAAATTTTTAAGAAGCCAAATCTATCAATCTTGTCCTTTATGGTTTCCTCCTTTTTTTTTTTTTGCTTAGGAAGTTCCTCCCCTGAATGCTTCTAACCATTTCCTGCTTGTCGCTTCCAGATTCAAATAGATTTTTGCTTAAATGAACTGTTTTAAAAGGAGGTTCCTTCCATTTTGAGATCAAGTTTTGTTTCTTTTGTTTGTTTGTTTTTTAAGCATTTATTTCAGGTCACCTGCGTGGCTCAGTTGGTTATCACGCATCTGACTTCTGCTCATGTCCTATCTTGCCATCCTGGGATCAGCCCCGCCTCTGGCTCCCAGCTCATTTGGGAGTCTATTTCTCCCTCTCCCTCTGCCCCTCCCCCTGCTTACTCTGTCTCTCAAACAAAGTCTTAAAAAAATAAGAAGCATGTATTTCTTCTCTCTTATGGTTTTTTTTTTTTTAAAGATTTTATTTATTTATTTGAGAGAGAGCACATGAGAGGGGGGAGGGTCAGAGGGAGAAGCAGACTCCCTGCCGAGCAGGGAGCCCGATGCGGGACTCGATCCTGGGACTCCAGGATCATGACCTGAGCCGAAGGCAGTCGCTTAACCAACTGAGCCACCCAGGCGCCCTCTCTTATGGTTTTAATGAATACTTTGGGATTTCATTTGCTTAGGGTGAGATACAGTTCTAACCCTCCTCCCCAGTAGGGTGCAGTTAATCAGTTATCAAACAGTTTATTAACTCTATCCATTGATTCAAATGCTACCCTTATTATAATCACTCTTATAATCATCCTGGGATTTCATCTACTGAGAGTTACAGGAATGAGGACATGTGGGACTGTGAACAAGCACCATTAGGGATAGACAGTGCTACCAGAGGTGTGAACCTTTGGACCAGGCAGAGGGAAAACAGGAAAAGAGTTGTGCCTGTTTAGACTAGGGTGATTGCTACAAGTTTGTAGTTTAGTAGTGGAATAACCCAAAATGTATTTTTCAAGATAGTTGCTCATTAAAATATCTAAATGAAAGTTTAAAGAGCAGGCAAAAGAAAACAGAGCAATCTTCCCCCCAAATAATTGAGTCTATAATATCTAATTCCACAATTACCTCACGAACCATCTGTCACATGGACTGCTGACCTTTAAACAGCCCTCAGGTATAAAATTTGAGAGAGGAACTTGGGTTAAGGTCTGGAGTCTTCTAGGATATTTCGCTTTGAGAAAATGAAACTATTTTAATATGTGGAGCTCACTACTACAGAAATATAACTCGCGCCGCACTTTCGTGCTAACATCCGCCTGAGCAGCTAAGGGAAACAACCCACTGTTCGTGGGTTTTGAGTACCGGATTCGTATTTGTCCTTCTTGCAAAGGGCAGTTAAGCCCAGGAACAAGAGCCTGGAGACGTTAGGCCGCAACAGAAAGTTATTTCTTACTCTAACGGTGGTTTTCGTAAGTGGGAAAGATACAAAAGTGAGAAGTACAGGTTACACCACAGAACTTTCCGAGGTCTCCTCTATCCCCACCCCCGCGCGCAGTGTCGCGGGCACTCGGGAGAGCGCAGCGGCCAGCAAACCCGCCGGGCGCGCGGAGGAGGCGCACGCCGGATGGAACCACCCCCCCCCCTTCGCTCGTGGCGGAGGGAGACCCGCGGCGGTGACGTAAAGGGGGCGGGGAGAGGCGCGGTGTGGGGTTGCGGGGTTTTTGCCGGAACAGGAAACCTCTCGGTGGGGCGCAGGCGTGCGGCTGGCATTGGGCGCCCGCCCTCTGGGACTGGCAGGTGTGCGGCGTGTGCGCCTCGCAAGTGATGGGACCGGGCGCGAGCGCCCCGGGGTAGCGCGGGCGAGGCTACGGGGCCCGGCCCGGGCAGCCATGGGACTCCTTCGGCTGCTGGTTCTGGCGGTGCTGGCGTCCGAACCCCGCATGGCCGGTGGAGCCGAAACCGTCGGGAATTCCAGCGAGGGTAAGGTCAGGGGCGCCTCACTTCTGCAGCCTCAAGTTGGTTTTGCATTTCTTGCAGGGTCGCAGTCCACCTCGGGATCTGTGCATCTCGCAGGGCAGGTGGTAGTTCAGAACCGGCAGGAGTGGATCAGGGTCTTTTCCTGCTGAAGGAAACTCCCATTGCCAAGGAGGCCTCATCGTCAACCGCCTAATTTAGGCCGAGGAAATGGGGAAGGGTTAAGTAACTCTCCTGTTCAGACACGTTTTTTATCTCCCTAGGGAGATAGCCATGTGTTTGTAGGTTTAACGCATTAAAACACCTCTTTGCTCTCCAGTGGTAATATCTGAGACTCGACAGTGAGGCTTGGTGCAGAACTAAGGGCTTTATTAATAATGTTCCTCCAAGCTGCTGCGGTTTTTTACACTCCAAAATCTAGATGCTTTTCAAATTGGTTATGCTCGACGGAGTTTGAAAGGAAGAGTGAACCCAGAATGGGACTTTGGATAGGTCATGTGCTCGGTGTATGCATTTTAGCGGTAGCTCCTGGTTTGTTAATATAAACCATAAAAAAGCACTAATTGTGCTAGGCTGATGATAATCATGTGCTTTTCCCTGAGGTTAATCACATTCTTACTTTTATTTTGAGCTTAAGAGACCAGTTGCAGGGGCGCCTGGGTGGTCAGATGGTTAAGCGTCTGCCTTCGGCTCAGGTCATCGTCCCAGGGTGCTGGAATCGAGCCCTGCATCGGGCTCTGCTCAGCGGGAAGCCTGCTTCTCCCTCTCCCCCTGCTCATGCTCTCTCTTTCTCTCTGTATCTCTGTCTCAAATGAATAAATAAAATCTTAAAAAAAAAAAAGACCAGTTGCAGTTCTGAACCAATGTATTTTCTGAATAACGTGGTTGTGTTCCTAATTGCTCATCTTAGAAAAGCTCTTGTGCAAACTGAATCATAGAATCATTGCACAGGAGTTAAGGCCAAAGCTGAAAAGGGCAGTTATATTTTTGCAGAAAAAATAGCCTTGTTAATAATAGGACACTGACATTTCACTGTGTGCAGTAAGTGCCAGGTGCTTTCCATGGCATTGTTATTTAACCCTCACAACCCTATGAGATAATTACCTTCCTCACTTGGCAGAGGATGAAGCTGGGGCCCTGGATGATGTTCATTACACAGGTGAACAGTTAATAGGGGCACAGGCGATATTTGAACCCAAGTGTGTCTTGCTGCAATTTTAATTTTCATGGTCTTTCCACTTCAACAAAGCTGCCCTCCAATAAGAATATTTTACTTAGTATGGTGCTTTACACTTAATTCTATGAATTGTCATTCCTCAAAATAGCCTTATGAGAGAGGTAGTGGTGATGCTATCCCCATTTTATTTTTTAAAAATTTATTTATTTTAGAGCGAGTGCAAGGGGGGAGGGGCAGAGGGAGAGGGAGAGAATCCCAAGCAGACTCTCCTCCCAGCTGATTGAGGAGCCTGATGTCGGGCTGAATCACCCCGCCATCCCACCCTGAGATCATGACCTGAGTGGAAACCAAGAGTCAGGCACTCAACTGACTTAGCCATCCAGGTGCCCCACTATCTCCATTTTAACAGGTGAAGAATTTGAAAGATTGAGTTTGTACTTGATTAAGGCTTCTGAGTCGGGAGGGCTGTGATCCACATCTTTTCTAGTTCTGTACTTTTGTATTTAATATTATCTTCATTCTTGTTTTACATTCATATCTAGTAATTTACATGGAATTACAATAGTAATTGGAGTTGAGCAGAATGTCACGTGGGCCTTCTAGTATTTGTGTTATTGCTGTTGTTGAATTTAAGGTAGCAGGCCATTGGTGTAGTTCGTTGCAAGTGATCTCTTTTAAAAGTATGTGAAAGGTACTGTGTACATTTGTGTTTCAGCGTTTAGGGCTAGTGAAAATTCATAACATATAAATGAAACATGGGGAGAGGCAGTTGAATGCCGACCAACTTAAGTATCTGAACTGTTTTTTTTGATAGTTCATCTGAAGAGAATTATAAAGACTAAGCTTTCACAGATCTGGAATTTGGTTGTGTCAGAGCACAAACAGGTAAATTTTAGTAAAAAAAAAATGAGTTGGATAATTTTAAGGTTCGAGTTTAGGATCTGATTGGGAAAGAAAAGGAAAAGATTAGGATCGGGCAGCTCTTTTTAGAAAGAAATTATTGGAAAGAAAAATGACTCTGGGTAGGAATGGAGGAAGGGTATGAAAAATAGAAGAGAGTGCCTGGCTATGGGTCAGATGGCAAAATATATCTTTGGCAGAAAAAGCAGAGCCATTGTTTTTTAGAAGAGAGCCACAGCCTAAGTGCTCTGTCTCCATGTTAGCCATTTGTCTGCAATATCATTTGATGTGCTGTCTTTTTCCTTCCCACTCACAAAGTCATAAGATCTAATTATGCCTCATAAAGTGAATCCTTTTCCAGATGGCTTAGAGAAGTTCCTTCTCCTTCAGGATATATTTTGGATACATGTCTCCTTTTGCTGTGTCTTTTTTTTTTTTTTAAAGATTTTATTTATTTATTTATTCATGAGAGACAGAGAGAGAGAGAGAGAGGCAGAGGGAGAAGCAGGCTTCCCACGGAGCAGGGAGCCCGATTCGGGACTCGATCCCAGGACCCTGGGATCATGACCTGAGCCGAAGGCAGACGCTTAACCATCTGAGCCACCCAGGCGCCCTGCTGTGTCTGTTTTTATGAGTAGAAATCAAATGCATTTTCTGCCAGACTGTACTGTTAAAATCTTGATTTTTAGTACTTTTCCTTGTTGCTCCATGGGAGTCTCTTTCTCATTTTGATGTTTGTGATGGACATGCTGGGCTTGTATAGTCCCCTTCTTTCTACTAGTTTATTCACAGGGCCATTTTGAATGCCTGACTTCTTTTTTTTTTAAGATTTTTTTTTTTTT